ATTAACAGTGCCTGGGACAGCCCTGGGGTAATCACAGAGTCATTTGGGGCCTGCCCACTGCTGGGCGCAATCTACTCCGGGGCCAAAACTTCCAACAAAGGGAGGGTTTGGCTTCCGGGAGGGAAAGCAGCCACGTGATTGTCTGGATTACAGATTTTTAATCCGCTACCTTTAGCCACATGAAGAGAAAAGACAAATTTGCCTATGAGCCTGACACACTGGTGGAGTGAGCCTGCCCAGCTATAAAGAAAACATAACTCTGGGCTTAAAATAAAACAAAGGTTATTTGAAACTACTTTCACCGGGTTAGAAAAACAGGTTAATTAAAAAAAAAAAAAAGATTTTGTTTATTTGAGAGAGCGTGAGAGAGCATGAGTGGGAGGGGCAGAGGGAGAGGGAGAAGCAGACTCCCCGCTGAGCAGGGAGCCCCAAGACATGGGGCTCAATCCCAAGACCCTGGGATCCTGACCTGAGCCGAAGGCAGCTGCTTAACCAACTGAGCCACTCAGTCCCCAATAAAAAGATTAATTTTTAATGCCACCAGCAGTGAGTTGTCAGATGACAAATTAGGAAAACAAATGACTTGAAGTTAAATGTTTTGACTGCAATTCTCAAAATGTGAGAATCCGTTTGCTGTGCAGATGTCGAACTCCGTGTTTTCCAACCAGTCGGAGGATTTTATGAGTTGCCTGTTACTATTTAATCCCCAAAGTGGAAGTGGGCAGAAGTGCACATTTAAGTGGGCCTGCCTGCCAGTCTGCATTTGAGCTGTTTTTGACCTCAGACATACAATCTCTGATGGAATCTCAGTCTTGGACAACTCAGTGTGGGATGCTGGGACTTCCTTCCCAGAGGCCCATTTATGGACTGAGCCCTGAGCCGAAAGGGAAGCTAAGGCAATGGCTCATGTCAGGGTGTAGGCCTGGGGATCCCTGGGGCTTCCTTCCGTGGTCTCTCGCTGGTCCCCTGGCTCCAGTCCTGCCTGCCTTTCAGTCCTGACTTCTCAAAGTGTGGTCCATGGACCCACAGCATAGCATTACCTTGGAGCTTATTGGAAATTTGGAATCATGGATCATAATCTTTATTTTAATGGGAGAGCCGGGTGATCTGTATGCACATTAGTTTGGGAGTCACTGCTCTAAGGAGTGTTTCTGAGTAATTTCTGGAGCACAGATCTGCGCCTGTGGTTGCTCATTCAGCATGCCCAACTGGGCCCTCTGCGGGAGGGCTGGCTCTCCTGTTTCTCTCTTCATAGTCCTCTACCCTCGATGGAGAAGGCTGAGTTCAACCTTTGCCTCTGGCACTTACTAGTCATACAGTCCTAGGCAGGACCTCTGACTTCTGTGAGCCTCACTTTACTTATCTGTAAAATGGAGACAATTACAGCAATCACACAGGTCTGATGTAAGACCAAGAAATAATGGTGTGAGGACTGGGATTGTCATTCAGTCTTACTTCTCCCTTGGCCCCCATGCCCATGCATTCTGGTGACTGCTGGCATCTTTGTGAATGTACATTTTTAGGAATCACCCAGCAAAATCCATTGCCTTTGGAAGATACTACATAGTATGTTGGCTAGGAAGAGCATGGGCAACACAGCCAGATGGACTAGAGTTCAAATTTTGACTCATTTACTGCTACATTCCTGTCTGAGCCTTGGTTTTCTCCTCTATAAAATGTGGTTGACAAGAAAGTGACGTGACAATCAAAAGAGGTAATACATGTGAAGCGTGGGGCACACAACAATTAGTGACAAATCTCGGTATTATTATTACTATTACTATTATTACCCAAACCTGGTAGAATGGGAGAGAAATGGTGGGAAGGGTGGTAAATACCATACAAATGAACCAGCATTGCCACCCTGGAAAACAGTATGGAGTTTCCTCAAAAAGTTAAAAATAGAGGGGCTCCTGGGTGGCTCAGCGGGCTAAAGCCTCTGACTTGGTTTCAGCTCAGGTCATGATCTCAGGGTCAGGAGACTGAGCCCCACATTGGGCTTCACGTTCAGCATGGAGTCTGCTTGTCTCTGTCCCCTTACTCCATCTCTTAAGTAAATCTTAAATAAATAAAATCTTTTTTTTTTTAAGTTAAAAATAGAACTACCCTACTATCCAGCAATTGCACTACTAGGTATTTGCCCAAAGAATACAAAAACCCCAATCCCCAATTGGAAGGGATACAAGCACCCTGATGTTTACAGCAGTGTTATCTACAATAGTTACACATGGAAGCAGCCCAAGTGTCTATCGACTGATGAATGGACAAAGGAGATATGGTGTACACACGATGGAGTGTTATTCAGCCACAGAAAGAATGAAATCCTGTCATTTGCAATGAAATGAATGGAACTACAGAATATACTACTAAGTGAAATAAGTCAGAGAAAGACTAATACCATATGATTTTGTTCATACATGGAATTTAAGAAACAAACCAGTTAAGGGGCGCCTCGGTGGCTCAGTGGGTTAAAGCCTCTGCCTTTGGCTCAGGTCATGATCTTGGAGTCCTGCGATCGAGCCCTGGGAGCCTGCTTCCCCCACTGTCTCTGCCTGTCTCTCTGCCTACCTGTGATCTCTGCCAAATAAATAAATAAAAATAAATAAATAAATAAATAAATAAACAAACAAACCAGCTAAGGGGAAAAAAGAAGAGTGAGACACAAACCAAGAAACAGACCCTCAGCTACAGAGAACACACTGATGGTCACCAGAGGGGAGGGAGTGGGGGGATGGGGGAAATGGAGGGGATGTAAGGGGGAGGGTTAGGAGTTGGGGAAAATAGGTGATGGGGATTAAGGAGAGCACCAGCTGATACCCGGAAGTGCTGAATCACTATATTGTCACCTGAAACTAATATTAACACTGTTTGTTAACTAACCGGACAATGTAAATAAAAACAGGAAAAAATGACTACACCATATATTAAAAATAAGAAAATACCATGCAGGGCGCCTGGGTAGCTCAGTTGGTTAAGCAACTGCCTTCAGCTCAGGTCATGATCCTGGAGTCTCAGGATCGAGTCCCACATCGGGCTCCCTGCTCAGTGGGGAGTCTGCTTCTCCCTCTGACCCTCTCCCCTCTCATTCTCTCTTTCTCTCTCTTTCTCTCTCAAATAGATAAATAAAATCTTAAAAAAAAAAGAAAATATCATGCAAATATAAAGCATTATTAATGCTGATATTCCCTGTACTTATTTCAGCCAGCCTTTGGCAGCCAAGTTAGCCCTGGCAATTAGCCCTCCTCTCTTTGCCTACAGAGCATTGCTCTCTCCATTACCAATGGTTGTCCTTGACCTGGCCCACCTGCTTTCCCTCAGCATGTAGTCTGCCTGAGGCACTCGTGCAGCTTGACTTGCAGTGGCTGGGCAAGAAAAGGGGCACAGGCTGCAGAACTATAGCAATGCTTTTCAACCTAGGCTGCATTGTTTGGAAGCATTGAGGCGGTGGGTGGAAGTCAGGGTGGGGTGATCTTTAAAACCTACTGATTCCTGGGACCCACCCAGGGTCTATCAAATATTCATTTGATAGATCTGAGGTGCCTTTAGGTTCTGAGACGTTTTAAGGTTTCCCAAGTGACCAATATGCAGCTGGGGTTGAGAGACCCCTCTCTCATGCAGCGGATGAGGAGGACAAGCTCTAGAGAATTCCTTCCTGGTTTATGCGCAGGGAATACCTTCTCTACTCTCTACCCCAAAGGGGTCCCACAGGGAATGCTAATTTATTTCGAAAGCAAAGCCTCCACTCCCAGAAGCAATAAAACCTCAAAAGGACCCAGAGCCAAGTAACAGAATCCTTGATGGATGGGGATATTTTTGTTCTCTTTGTGAAAACCAACTAAAGCAGTTCAGCCTCAGGAGTTTAAAGAGCAGCTTTAAAGAGCCCAGCCCACCACGCGTCCCTCTCCACTCACCTCCTGAAGCCCCCAGGAGCACCCAGGGGCATGGGGTGTCCAGAGACGAGGTGTGAAGCCACAGGTGCCCCACTTACTATGCAAGCAAACTGACACTCCAGTTACTAAAGACAGGCGTGGTGGAATGGTGTTTGGGGAAGCAGTTCCAATGAAAGATTAAACATTAAAACAAAAAAAAGACTTCCAATGGATGGGACACCTGAGTCCCTGAGCCTTCCCTCTCCCGTGCCCCAATGATTTATTTCAACCCTTGAGGAATTCCAGGCCCCAAAGGGGATTTATTTTTCGGGGTTTTGCAGAACAAACCAGGGAGACTTCTGCCTACCCTGATGACACAGGAGTTACAAGTGGCTCCCGAAGGCACTTGGCTGTTGGTTGCTGGCTCACCTGTGGCTACAGAGGCCCGACTGGGCAGGTGTGACCCGGACACAGGTGATGGGGAGGGGCAGGAGTTGAGATCATGGCAAGCATGAGCACTGTGCCCAGCTTTGCCAAGAAACCATCATGCCTGGGACCAGTGATTCTCCTCTGGGCTATGGGCACAGAGTTCTGAACACCCGTTCCCTTTCTCACATGCTGAGAGATGCCCCTGTTGGGAGCCTGCTGTCCCCTGGGCAGAGAAAAGGTCAAGCTACTGCCCCCTACACCCCAAGGATACCTGTTGCTCATGGTCATCCCCTCAAATGCGCCCCCCCTACAACCAGGTCCTGACTTCTGGGCAGACTCCCACTAGGCCTCCGAGACCCAGCCCAAAGCTTTTAGGGCTGACCAACCATGTCACCCTCTGGGCAGCCCCTAAAACACAGTCCCTCCACAAGTACCTGTGACTAGAGGACTAGGGGCTGGCTGGCTGGCGTGTGGATCTCATGTCACTGTGCAGTATGAGGTCTACCCTGGATTTAACAGGAAAATGACAGACGTGCAGTTGGGAGGGATAGATGGGGAGAGACAGAGAGATAGAGACACAGCAGAGAGAGAGAGGGAGAGAAACAGAGAGAGGGAGAGAAACACAGAGGAGAGAGAGGGAGAGAGACAGAGAGAGGGAGAGAAGCATCTTTTCCAGGGTTGCTTAGAGGGGCAGCCACTTACCAGTTCCTTCCTGAGCCAGGCTATAGCCTCGTCGATACTTTCAAAGCCTTCCAGCTTGCCGGCAGGCTGGGGCCCAGCGTCCTGGGAGCCACTCCCGTTAGGTGGGGAATGCCGCCTGGGCTCTCTCCTCCGGGATGAGGGGTCCTCCTCCCCACACTCCCCCTGCTCAGCAGGGGGCCTCGGGAAGGGCCATGTCTGCTCTTCCAGCCTGGCCTGCCATTCCAAGTAGGAGGGCCTTCGGGTCTCCAGCCTCAGTTTCTCAGTGAGGGCCTTCAGGCTCCGGAGGTGGTCATCCGGAGGCAGGGCTGCTCCTGCTGGCTCTTCTTCCCCACCTACCACTTCTTCTACTTGGATCTGAGGCACAGACATTCTAGAGTCTGCTGGGGCGGCCAGACATGGGAGGCAGTGGGAGGTGGTGTGGGATTCTTGGTGGGTGGCAAGGTTGGGTCCCACTCAGGAATGTTCTCATCCGGCTGGGGTCAGGGCTCCTGAGTGCATTGCTGGGATGTGAGCAGCTCCCGGAGCTGACAGGGGCCCGCCGTGGATGAGCCACACAGGGTGCCCTCCAGGGCAGCTGTGGAGGGTCAGGATTTAAGATTCTTCCCAGTGTCCTGCGGATGCCATGTTTCACAAAAGGCAGGAACAGACAAGCGTCAGCAGGAATCTTTGGGGGCAAATTTGCCCAGAAGATCTATCAGTCCTGGAGGTGCAGGCAGATCTGAGACTGGCGGGGAGGCAGGATTGAGCTCCCTCCTCACGGGCCAGGGAAGGCGGTGAGAAGCTGCGGGCTGGCTGGTTGGAGGCCCTGCAGGAAGGATGCAAATGAAGTCAGTACTAATCCCTCCCCTGGCAGGAGGCCTGCCACATTCCTGAGCTCCTCAGGAGGGGAAACTGAGGCTCAGAGAGGTTAGGTGACAGGGCTGCTGATGGCTCCCTTAGGACGAGAAGTGAGGCAATTTTAAGCCTTAACTCAACGCACAGAAGTTAATAACACATCAATGCTCTGTACAGTGTTCCACCGCTGACGACATGATTCCACCTCCATTATCTCATTCAGTCCTCAAGGTGGGTCTGTAGTTATTTCTCTCTGTCGCCATTTTACACGCCAGGAACCTGAGGCTCTGACAGGTTGGATGACTCACCTGAGAGCTCCTGGCGATCAGCAAGGACAAGACTGGGTTGTCTGATTCTGAGGGAGCTGGTCTCTCCTTGGAGCAACAGAGCCCTGTGGGTCCCCAGGCAGACACAGTTGTGCCCTGGGGTCCGGGGATGCTGACCTGCCCCACCCCGTCCACCACAGCCCCTGTCCTCAGGCGCTGTCTCCTCCAGGTCCTCCTGCACACCCTCAGATTCTTCCTCCAAAGACAACACCTTACCTCACCGCTTCCGAGGAGGAAACAAACCTGCAACCGCTTTGGGAAGAGCCGACCTCCCTCAAGGAGGATTGTTAAACGGAGCGAGGACTGTGACTCACCACCCTTCTAGAAAGATAGTTCTCACATTTACTTAAAATGAGCGCACTCTAGCGCCTCGTGGACAAGGGCTGTGGCTCTCTGATCTGATCTGGACTTCCCATCTCCGGGGAGGTGGTCTGAGCACAATGTAGAGAAGGAGCTCCGAGTCCGAGTAAGAGACTCCAGCCTCCCAGCGGCATCCCTGCACCCACAGGGTCCAGGCAACTGGAGACAGGTACATCAGAGTAGGGGACATTTGACTCGGACCGAGGAGAGAAGTCCTTGGTTCTCAGGCTGATCTTTAAAAATGTGTGCTAAGGGCATGCCAAAAAAGAATGAATTCGTATGGAGCGATGTCCAAGATAAAGCTTCCATGGAAAAACAAAACAAAACAAATTATTTGTAGTCTGGAGGGTGTAGAAAAGGAGGAGAAGGGACAGATTTTTATTGACTTCTATGAGAATAAAATGATCTCTGGAAGGAGAAAATCTAAAACTAAGAGTTCTGATTACTTGTTTGGGTGATGAGAACTGGACATGGGGTGTTGGGGGATGGCATAGAAAGAGGCAGAGAGTTCAGAGGGAGCAAAATAAAAACATAGACTCATCCCTCCAGGGAAGCTCTGGGGCCTCCCTCCCACCTAGTGATGGAGATGTTCAAGAAGAACAGACCAGGCGGCTCAGCCGGTTAAGCCTCTGCCTTCCGCTCAGGTCATGATCTCAGGGTCATGGGATCAAGCCCTGCATTGGGCTCCCTGCTCAGTGGTGAGTCTAGTTCTCTCTCTTTCCCTCTGCCCCTGCTCATGCTCCCTCCCTCTCCTTTCTCTGTCATTCAAATAAAGAAATAAAATTTGGGGGCACGTGGGTGGCTCCATCAGTTAGATGTCTGACTTTGGTTCAGAGAGTCCTGGGATCCAGCCCCATGTTGGGCTCCCAAGCCTGCTTCTCCCTCTGTACCTGACTGTGTTCATTCTCTCTCTCTCTCTCAAATAAACAAATAAAATCTTAAAGAGGAAGAAGGGGGAGGAGGAAGAGGAAGAGGAGGAGGACAGACCTTGCTGTCTTTTTGGACTGTTTCTACAATCTCTGCCTGTCACATGATCTGACCGAGGGATATCTGGCTGTCCTCCCCATGCTCTGAGCCTGGCCCGTCTGGAGGTATCCCTGAGGAATGAGGGGGAATATTCTACCCCAACGAATGGCAGAGAAACCTAGTTCTCACCTCCAGCCACCCAGATGGGAATCCTCAGGAACTTCCACAAAAATGGAATCCCAGGCTCCACTCCCAGGGGTTCGGATTCCATTAATGGGGGGGGGGGGGGGCTCAACCATCAGCATGTTTTTAAAGCTCCCCAGGTGGTGTGAGGGAGCGGCCAGGGCTGAGAACCCCTGGTCTGGAGCTAGAAACCCTAGACTAGGGGTCAGAGGGCCGAGCTGCAGGTGCTGTCAGGCTTGCTGGGCCTCAGTTTCCCGGCATATAAAATGGGGGTGATAATATCAATCTCCTAGGTTTGGGGGATTGGCAGAACTAAGGTTTGTACACGCTTTCTGCAGGTGTAGCATGCTTTGCCGATGCAGGGTGTTTTCCTGAGGGGATTTCTGCGCCTCTCAAGGTCACACAGGCTTCTCAGAATCTCTCCGAATCTAAAGACCTATTAGCAGCCCCTCCCAGGCGCCAGCTGCCTCTTTGCTGAGCTGCCAGAATGTGTTTTGAGTGTGCCTCAGGGCAGCTCTACCTTACAGGACTTCTTTCCACCAGACAGCTCTGATGGTTTCCAGTGAAGCTTTTGGGAGAGGATCTAAGGGCAGACAGTGCTCTCTTTCTCCACACCGCAGTTGCCTGAGCAGATGACACAGACCGGAAGTCACCCTCATTCTTTCCCTGAGCAGCACGCTTCCCTGCAGAAGTCAGGGGCAACTGTGGCGGGAGGGAGAACCGGCTAGGGGAGGGTCTTCCCTTGGGAGTGGGAAAGAGCTATGACTCCATGACTTTAGGAGGCTGCCTCCAAGGGTAGGGGAGTTTATTTTAATTGGTGGTTTCTAAAGCAGTCCCGAGAAACCCTGTGAAGACGGTGTCAGAAGGACTTGGAGGCATTACCAGGAGCGCCAATGCACGGTTGAGTCAGCTAATGATGAGTCTTTGATCCGCTGAGCTTAGGGAGTGTGTGAAAGAACCCTTGGATGCATCCTCTTACTCAAGCCTCCCAGGGGCCCTTGAGGAGCTGGTGGGATCACCCCATTTCACAAAGGAGAAAATCGAGGTTGGGAGGGGTGGAGTAAGTCACCTCTGACCATAGATGGGGCCAGCAGCCAGACTTGGGCACAGTCTTCAGACAGTGGCTGGCCTCTCTGTCTACTCCAGAGGGCATGGGCCTTGGGGTTAGACCCCCAAGGACGCCCAGTTCTGTGATCTTGGACATGTCGCTTCTCGACCACTCCATGCTTCTGTCCTCTTCTAAGAAGTGGGGGTAACCAGGCTCGTCTACATAATTTGCTGGGCTCGGTGCAAATGAAAATGCAGCGCTCACTGTGGAAAAGTATTTAGGAATTTCAAGATGGCAACGGTAGCGCATTTACCCAAGCACGGGGCCCAACGGGGCTGCCCGGGTCCCTTGCTCATGAAGCCAGCCCTGGTGGTAATAACATCAGCTTCATGGCCCATTTCAAGGATTGAAGTAACAAATCTCCAGCCCTTTCCACTGTGCCTGTTCTATGGTAAGCCCTAGACAACAGGATACTTTAAAACTATTATTCTTAAGATGATGAAACCTATCCGTGCTACATCTGTCATGTGACCAGATAGCCCACTCTGTGCAGCACGGGGCAGTCATCCGTTTGTTCCAGACCGTTAGGTGGCCCGAGCCACTCTTTGTACCCAGCATGCTTCCCTGGGAGCTCACATCCCCCCAGAAGTTCAGGTATCCCCCTCCGAGTTTCACCATACAGTGGTGACTAGCAGGTCTGCCATGGGAAAGAGAAAAAAAACCCAGTTTAGGAAAACACCACTCTTCCATCCCCACTCCCTTCCCTCCCTGCTCCTATTCTAAACACCCCCATCCCCAGCTCAGGGCCCCGGGAGTGACCAGCTTTGACAGTGTGTTATCCACATTATAAGAGCAAAGGCAGGGGGGCTGAATGCCTCAGCCCTGGCCCCAGGTATGCTCCCCAAAACCTCATTGCTGGGACCTCTGTGTCCTCCTCTGTACAAGAAGGCTTCCTACCCCAACCCCTCTCATGTGAGGATCGGCTGGAGTCTGGTAGGTGAAAGCTCTCTGCAACCTTTGAACCCACCTGAGGATTATTATCGCATCAAGGCATGTGTGGGTATGGGGTGGCCTGAGTCAGGGACTCGTCCCTTGATGTGTGTGGCCACCCATAGCAGGCAGGGACTGAGCCCCAGACTGCTTCCCACAGCACACGCACGTGGTGAAGATTTGCTCAAATAAGATTTGTTGTCTGGTCTTCTGGTCCTCCGACAGCATCCCGGGGATCGCTGCCCCTCTGGAAGCCTTGGAGCCCGAGAGCCGCTGGGGGGCTGTTCCTGCCCCGTCCAGCTAGGCTGCCAGGAGCTGAGCTGGAATGTCACTGACTCAGGTCACCGCAGGGATGTGGGCACTTAGTGGGCACTCCACTGGGTGCAGGGGAGCAGACGCCAGCCCTGGCTTCCTGGTCTGAAAGGGCGGTAGGGACTTCCTTCTCCTTTGGACAAACCAGGGACCTGGGAACATGGGCACTGAGAGGAAGAGCCCACCAATACCTGAGCGGGGGCGTTGCTTTATATCTAATCTAAGTCCTTCCTGCCACCGGGGAACACATTTTCTCTCACTCTGAGCCTTGCAAAGGCAGACAGCCTGGGGAGGAAAGCCAAAGCACGTTGGCACAACCAGGAGCCCAGAAAAACAAGGTCAGACCCTCATCCCACCAGGCTCAGGCGTGCCCGCCAGGCGGGCCACCCGGCTGCCGGGAACATAAGATTTCCTGCAACAGAACACAAGCCTCAGGGGCACATCCACCTTTTTGTAGCAGTGTCAAACCTACGTTGCCCAGGAGGACTGCTGCTCGAACATGCTCCTGGCTCACTCCAGCCCACAGTGGCTGCGGCGAAGGAGGCCAGGCCAGCCATGAGCTAATTCTTGGGCTGCTGGAGAAGCCAGGTGGGTGCAGCTCAGTCATCCGGCCAATTACGCCCTTGTGCCATTATGATCTAATCTCTTCACTTGGACAGCTTTCAAACCCACTTCCTAGATGGACTTCATGGGCAGGAAAGGGTGCAGAGGCTGCTGATACATTCTCTCCTTCTCTCCTTGTCTCTGTCTCTCTCAAGGATGAAGGTGGGCTGAGCCTGTTCCCCG